CTTCACAATATAAGTCTCCTTGCAGTATCAATACTAATTCGGCTGACTTTTATATTTGATCCAATTGCTATATTTACACCATAACGGTGCACAGCTGATAGAAAGGGACACCTGGTGGTTAAAGCACGTTATTGAAATGTATTATTTTTATTATTAGATATTAATAGGAGACACAGACAGACAAACTAATAAGGCTTTATTTAAACATTAAATAATACTTTAGGTTAAGGTCTTATTTTGAATAAGAAAAAAGCTTTGGGGGTATAAATATTAAGCCTGACAAAGTACTAATATATTGCTTTCGTGCAATGTTAACTACTGTATGTTTAAGCACTTATTTTAACTGATATTATACGTATTATACTCTTATAAGATGTATGTAGATAGTATAAGAAATGTGCAGAATACGACAGTTTAATGGTGGAGGTATACACACATATTGATAGATGTCCAAGTTTTTCATCTCCGACCTTGTCAGGTATTGAATATTCAATAAATAAAGAACACAGAATTATTAAATATAAAACACAGAATTTGTGTGATTATACTAAATGATTTACAAATAAACACCACTGCATATTTACAACTGTTACACATGCTGATGTAACGCAAATGTTTCCAACTTAGGATCAATAAATTATATCTTATCTTAAGATGATCGATGGCCATGCCATATTTGCCTCTGAACCTTGACAAGTGCATGTTTCAGGCTTATCAATTAACAACAGGAGGGGTCACAGACATAAGACCAGCTGTTAAATAAAGCTCTTCTGGCCTTAGCTGTCATGTGGGTATATATGAATGCTGCCCATTATGGGCACAAGCAATTTTCACCCATTTATTAATTATATGTTATAAATTTGAGTGTTTCCTATCCCCTAAACCTCCAGGGATGTACACAGTTTAATACTGGCAACTTCTTATTATGGGAAATACGAAAACGTCTTTTAACCTCTTAAGCCCCAAGCCTGTTTTTCAGGTTTCAGGCTCGAAAAAAAAAGGACATGCCCAAAACAAAGGACTATAACTTAACTTCTAAAAGGGTTATATGAATAATTTATTTTATCAAAGCAAGGTCACATCTGTGAGTTGGATGTAGAAGTGTCAGAATCAATAAAGATGTTTCAGTGTCAGAGTAAATCCATATGGAACATAGTCAAAAAGTTTAAATTCTTGTCTCCGCCCAAATAAAACCCATTACTTATAGTGAAAACCACCCTTGAATGATGGGTTAGTAGCCTCAAAGCTTTAGGAATCCAAAGTATAACATATAATAAGTACCCTGTATCAAGATTGAGGCAAAACAAGTGAGAATTGACCTTTTCAGAGAGATTTAGCAAACAAAAAGTCCAAGCGGACTAAGCTTTGGGTACATTTGGTTCCATCAGTGCCATTTAACATTTTTCAGGTACCAGACTGTACAAATCATAGTATAACATTTAATTATCACTATAGGTATTCATTCCATAAATAAAACAAATGATTGTAAAAAAAAGTGTGTGTGTGTGTGTGTGTGTGTGTGTGTGTGTGTGTGTGTGTGTGTGTGTGTGTGTGTGTGTGTGTGTGTGTGTGTGTGTGTGTGTGTGTGTGTGTGTGTGTGTGTGTGTGTGTGGTGTGTGTGTGTGTGTGTGTGTGTGTGTGTGTGTGTGTGTGTGTGTGTGTGTGTGTGTGTGTGTGTGTGTGTGTGTGTGTGTGTGTGTGTGTGTGTGTGTGTGTGTGTGTGTGTGTGTGTGTGTGTGTGTGTGTGTGTGTGTGTGTGTGTTGCACAATAACAATTAGGAAACTTAGGAAACATTTGACTCCAACTGGAGCAGCTTTATTTAAAACAATTTAGCAACACACTATACAACCAGCATTTTTTGGGTAAAAAAAAAAACTTTATACAAACCCTGAATGTTACAGTATTACTCCAGTAAGTCATGCCATGCCCGGTAACAGTTATTTTTGGTAGTGAAGCACAGACACTTCCTGCAGTACACAGGTGTCTTCACTCTTCAGTTGCCAGCATCAGAGCACCTTCTGCAGTACCTCCTGACCTTGGTGGCATCTTCCCCATAATACTCGGGCATCCAGAAGCCATATCATCATCGCCTTCTTCACTGTGAAAACAAATGTGGAAAAAACAAATACCAATGCAAAGACGCTACAATCGATGCATCGCGAGTTCAACCCAAACTGTAGCCGATGTGCACTCTTTCAACCGGTGCACTCGCATCTCGAACGTTTATGCCGGTGCACCGATGTGAATCGGTGAATCTTAACATCCCTACATTCAACACAACTTTTGATCAGAAACGGTAAAAGGTAAGACTCTTTTCCGTGTTTCCTCCGTAAAGCTGGGTTAGCTTCCCCTGTCACGAGTTTTGATCGCACGGTGATGATACTTATATTTCTAGAATCTGTGGAATCTCAGCTTGCTAGTTAATATCTTGTTTGTGCAGATCCAATAAGTAATAAACTATTTCTACCGAGAGTTCTGTGCTAAGTGTGTTAGCATGTTTTGCTTAGGGCTCATTTAGAGGCTTCTTGTGAGACTTGTGTTTTGTTTCGGTACAAATCGTATCGTCAGTTAGCTGAGTTTCTTCCCGTTAGGTGGGTATGACACATTCATAGTTTGTTAAATGTTAAGAAGCCCTCAGACGCTGTTTTTTGCAGATGTTGCGTTCATGCCCCCGCCCGCTGTAAAAAGGTAATGAACTGAACAAATTGTAAATAATGTGAACTTACAGAACTGTAAAAAACAAACAAAAAACAAATATTTACTGCAAAGATACAGTAGTACAGAGCAACACAGGTGGGGCATACAGGTATGCTGCAAAAGGCCTAACGGTTCTTCTGGAGGAAGATTAAGGCATACACATACCATACCTGACGTGGAAACGTTACTCGTGGATGGGGCTACAGAAATACCAGAAAGACAGTCGAAAAAGGTATTTATATATGTTTAGTAGGTCGTGGAAGTGCGCTCCAAAATATGTGTGGATCTTTATTGGTATTTATTATTTTTATATTATTTATTTAAATGTATAATTTTTTATTTTTTTTAAATTGGTTTTTCAGTTGAATTATACTTAAAGTTCAGTGTAATCAACTGTTTAAAATCAATAATAATAATTTGAGCAGTATGTTTTTGAGTTCAATAAATGGATGTTTTCAAAGTCAATGAATAATCGTATTTAATAATCGTGATATCAATATTGACCACAAATAATCGTGATTATGATTTTTGCCATAATCGATCAGCCCTACTATTTGTGCAATATATACCTGGCTGCTAAATCCTAAGAACTGTTACAGGATGTGTATTTTGTAAATTGTGTAACTTTTTATTATATTTTGTATTATATCATTACTTTTTTTTTTCCTTCAATACTTTCTAATTCATGTAACATGTAACATTAAGCTGGCTCTTTTTCTGCTGTAACAATGTACATTTCCCCTCTCTGGGACTGATGAAGGTATTCTGATTCTGATTAACACTTTAAACCCTTTGTTAACCCTTTTTACAATTTAACTAATAAGTGAATTATCATGCAATTATATTGACCAAAAAGTAATATTAAAAATAAATGTAGAAAATATTTAACTCATAAAATATTAAACGTTATCTTTTGCAGTTGTTCCACTATTTATCTCTCTTCGTTATAAATGTATTTTTAAATGATTTATTCATTATCAAATGTATGTATTTATTTTTTCATCTTGAGAAAGAAAATCAACTAAATGTTAAAAAGAAAATAATAAAAAATTACATTTTGGGTGTATTCAGATTGCGAGTTCCCTCTTCTATCATCATTTATAGAAGTGCAACCTTAAACATGTACAGCAGTAAAATGCAACATTGACAATAATCAAGAAACATCATAAATCAAACGCTGACAGGGAAGATTTTATTGCAGTGTCATTACTTTTACATAAGAAGGTGCTGTTAATACTTGCGTACTTTTACTTAAATAAGGTTTAAATGCAGAATTTAATTTGTAACCGAGTATTACCATTCTATAGGCGTAGTGTATCTGTGAACGATCCCAAATACAATTATTTGTTTACATATCAGCTAGTGCTAAACCAGAAGAAAAACCCCTTTTTCATTTTTAACTGTAAGTGGAAAGGGTTGTGCTACATAAGGTGAATTGAGCCAACAAAAATACACAACAGGTGGGACAAATTCACACCAACGCAGTTCCCGTTCTAGCTCCGTGCTAGAGCTTTTCTGGTTCGGAACCGTTTTTTTTTCAGCCCCCCGTTTTGTTCACACCGCCGAGAAACCGACTGGTGCTGCTGCGTCATGACGTCACCGTTTACATCGCTGATCGATGGATCAGCTGGTCGATGATCGTGTTGCTTTTAATCATATGAAGCCAGATTAAATTAAATAGCTACTTCTCAAGACTATCAACTTGTGATAGTCGGACATGAGTCATGGAAACCTGTGCAGCCCATGTATTGATTCCATCCGATACCTGCTATAATACAAAACAAAACGTCTGCCTGCTCTCCACAATGATCAATGATAGCGAACAGATGGTCAAAGTAGGGTACAAATAAACAGAATAACACTAAGCCTGGTTAGTGTTGCCTGACTTTATAAAGTGTGTTTTTTTTAATAAGTGTGTGGTTGGGTTCTAGTCACTTTGGTCAGCGCTACTGCTTGTTACAACTTTCATTTGCCGTACTCGCCATAAACTGTTATTGCTGAGGTTGATCCCGCCCCTGCCCCGCCTCCGAAGTAAGCTCTTCTTGCTTCTACAATTTTTTGGTCCTTGAAAAGCACCGGGATTCGGAGCTTAGAGCCGGCTACGGTGTGAACAGGAAAAACTGGTACTTTTTAGGCTCTAGCTCCGAACCACGTTGGAAAGCCCCATCAGAAAGACAATATGAAAGTATAAAAACAAAGGCATTAATTAGGGCTGCAAAATGTCTCCCATTGTAATGGTGATTAGATTTTTAAATGCTAACACTTAACAGTTTTTTCTGACTGTGTTTCCTGTTTCCTGCAGATGTCCAGCTGCTGGTGGTGGTTAAAGAAGAGCTTCTCCCTGACCAGCAGGAGTGGAGCACCAGTCTGGACCAGGAGGACCCAGAGCCCCCCCCAAACATTAAGCAGGAAGGGGAGGAACTCGGGATCAGTCAGGAGGGAGAGCAGCTTCAGGAGCTGGAGGAGGCTGATATCACCAAGTCCACTTTCACTCCTGACCCTGTGAAGAGTGAAGATGATAAAGAGAAACCTCAGTCATCACAGCCTCATCAAAGACAAACTGAACACATGGAAACAGAAGCTGATGGAGATGACTGTCGAGGACCAGAACCAGCCAGGAACTCAGATCCAGAGAGCAGTTTACAACCAAAGACTGAGGACCACACTGGAGACTCTTCTGAACCTGACACTGAAGACAGTGCTGATTGGAAGGAGACCAGAGAACCTGCGTCAGGCTCAAACTCACTGAAAAATAGACAAGAATCTGTCAGTGATCCAAGAGGTAGTGCTGGAAAGAAACCATTTGGCTGCTCAGTCTGTAAGAAAGCTTTTTCACAGAGTGGAAATTTAAATCGACACATGACAATCCACACAGGAGAGAAACCATTTAGCTGCTCAGTTTGTACCAAATATTTTGCATTGAGTGGACATTTAAAGGCACACATGAGAATCCACACAGGAGAGAAACCATTCAGCTGCTCAGTCTGTAAGAAAGCTTTTTCACAGAGTGGAAGTGTAAAGGCACACATGAGGGTCCACACAGGAGAGAAACCATACAGCTGCAAAGTTTGTGACAAAATATTTAAATGGCGTAATCATTTCAAAACACACAAGTGTGTTGGTCGTCAGTCCTCACAGCTTAATGAAATTCAAACTGAGGATAACGGAGAGGCAGAGCCTCCAATCAGCAGCTCAGCTGAACACATGGAAACAGAAGCTGATGGAGAGGACAATGAATATGGTTTTCAATTCTGACAGAAACGTCCCAGGTAGGCGGGACTTTCAGCGGTGCGTCCCCATTGGATACTCAGTTTTTGAGTGACAGTCCAGTCCTCCAGCGATTGTACAGTGCAGCTGCGGCAGTTGAGCATGGACAGAAGACCCCCAGGAGAGCCTGCATTTCAATTATTATAATACTACAAGTGAAAATATAAGTATTGATCATTTGTGTTGTTTGTGCTGTACTATACGGTCTGTTTCTTTTTTGTGTTAAGTGATAAGTAAAGAAAATATGTGCTATGAAAGTTAGCTTTTGCTACTATTGCGGCAGTGATCTTCCAAACAATGCCGCGAGGCACTAAACAAGAGAAAAACATTGTGGACGCGCAAAAAACTCAGTCTTTCCAGCAGTATGCGTTTGACCTTTTATTTCCAAAGCAAAACCATATGCATAGGCCTATATTCCTTTACGCGTGCGTGCGTGCGGTCAACAAAAATTGTCCTTCTCCAGCTCACTCCCCCTCCATCTATTACAAAGTGCGCAGGTAAAAGCAACCGGGTATAACCACAAACGTCACCACACAAATCCACTCAAAAAACATGTATCGTAACAAACACAGTAAAATACTTCAAATGTGGCTCCTACAGCAGCTACCTTTAGATCCATAACAATGCAAGCTAAGTAGCAGGGACAGTTAGCCACATAGCTAGCAGTGAGTGAGCATTCAGACACCGGCGCACACACTCAAACGGACTTGTGTGCCTGACTCTACCAACAGGCTTTCATGATTCTGTTTAGATATGCAAGTATAAGCCACGTTAGCTTATTTTATTAACACACTAATTTTATATGAAAATCAATGGAGGCTGAGTTAACTTTGTAGGAAAACCTACCTTCCCTGATGCCCCTGAGCTGAGTTTTAGTTGTTAACTTCATATTTTTCATTTCCTAAATCATTAATGTTCCTCTCTTAAAAGTGTGGATCATTGAGACAGCATGGTGTCCAGAGTCTTATCCCGTTTTCCCACTTCCTCTGAGGGGACAGCATTAGATCCTAGGAGGGGGGGGCATGAAGAAAGACCTGCACCATCTTCATCCACGCGTTGCTGTTATCACTTGCTCAGTGTCATTTTCATTCATGTCTTTACATATACATTTAATAGATTTTATTATTATCCACCTTTTAGTTTAATGTTCTTTTATTTAAAACATTCTTTGAGACTTCATCTTCTGGTTCAAATTTCAATAAATGTAATTTGTAAAACCACTATTTTTATTCTACATGAAAATGTTAGAGATTCCATTCAAACCTGTTGATTATTCATATCTTCCTCAGGCTATAGGAATAGTATGTCGAATTTGTAATGCTAAATGTATATCATTTTCTCATAGGATATAGAATGAGACAACATAGGCCCTTTCTCATTTCTCTAACTCCCCTCCTCGACTCCTATCCTCGAGACTTAGTCCCGCCCACAGGAGATGCGAACGGAGGAGTCGAGGAGGGGAACCGAGGAGAGAGGAGGGGAAGCAGCAGGCGGTTAGAGAAATGAGAACTCCTCTCCTCTGAGCGGTCATTTTAAAGAGACGTCCATTAATGATGACAGGAGGCTCAGCAGCCCTCTGTCTGATGGACAGATGTGTTCATGACGACTTATATATTTACTTTTAATTCATTCACCGTGCGGTATAATGAGACAATAACAGGCTACAGATGCGGACACACACACACACACACACACACACACACATAAATATATACCATTTCAGAATCAAACAGAGCACTCTCATAATAACGTAACACTATCAGAGACTGGATATATCCCCCCCCCCCCCCCCCCCTCTCTGGTCGCTACAATGAGGGAAATAAATTACGGGCCAAAAGTTTTATTTACAAGTATTAAAAGTAAGCAGAGGACACCAAACCAACTGTGACCTGTCTGTCCGCTGCATCTACGCACTGTACAACACACACACCTACACACTGTACCACACACACACACCAACACACTGTACCACACACACCTACAGCTCCTAAAGCATATTATCAGGCTACAGCCGTTGTGTATTTTATTATGTGAAGCACTAAATGGTTTTAGAAAAATATCGACTCTTTGTTTGTAGATATCTACTAAACTAAAGCAAATAAAGAGAGTAGGCCTGTTATACTGAGTGATATATATTATACACACTGCTCTGCTTTCTGCACGGACCTCAAAGCTGTTCTCTCTGTAAACATCGCGTTGCGATGAGAGCAGTTAATAAAATAATATCCAGGGGATGCATGCAGAGCTGTCATTGGCTGAGATAAGTCCGGCCGTGCGTCACGACGCTTTGAAACATCTCTGTTCCCGGAAATGCATCCGCGAAGGAGCCGTGGAGGACCCATCAGTGTCTCCTCGGTTATAGCTCCTCCAGAGAGCCTCCTCGACGCTCGATCCTCAGTCCTCGAAGTGCATTGAGAGAAATGAGATGTCCTTCAACATGACGCGCTAAAATTCATTTCCGGGTCACTACCGGAGGACCGAGGAGGGGGATTTGATGAAATGAGAAAGGGCCATAGTTTGTATCCATTGTGTATGAATGCTTCAGAATTGTAGAGTTTGTTAAATTAAAGCTGTCTTTAATTGTTTTGTCCTAAACATAGCAATATATGCTTTTGAAATGTAACATGTTTTATTATTTTACAGCAGCAGTGTGTTCAGGTATTAAAATATTTAAAGTTGGAATAAAGTATGAACTACACAACACAAGTATAATGCACAGCAATCCATAAGATAAGTCCGATATGTTCATGAAACTCCCCAGGAGACACCAACACTAATGTGGCCGAGTGGACTCCGGAGTTTGCTGCATGAGTTGCACTGTATGATCTGTGGTGTAGTGGGCTGTCACTCAAAAACTGAGTAGCCAATGGGGACGCACCGCTGAAAGTCCCGCCCACCTGGGACGTTTATGTCAGAATTGAAAACCAAAAATGAGGGAGCGCAAATAAGAGAGCTGCAGCGAGAGCAAAAGTCTGATCCTTGAGAAAGAAGAAACAAGAACTGCAAACAAAAAGCTATGTTAAAACAAAGAAAAAATATTTATAGTTTATATGATTACACAAATGATTTGTTTGCAATTTATAGTTTTATTTTTAAAATTTATTTTATTTTGCTTGACTCAGTTTTTTTCTTCTTTTAAACTCATAGTTTTGCTTTATTCTGAGAAAGTGTTGCTTTATCTTTATGATACAAAACTAATCCCATACTAAATGCACTTTTGTACGTCTTTTATACATGAATATGTGTCCCCGGCAGAGGTCGCGTTAACCGAATATATTCCGTCGATGACGGAATTTTTTTTAACGATGACGGAAAAATCTGAAAGCAGTCCGTCATTTTGACGGATTAGAACAAACTCAGTACAGTGCAAAAGTTTCCCCGCAGCAGGGCTCCGGTGTTATGCCTTGTTATGGTAATTTGGTAAGAGCGTTTTTAACAGACAGGACATTTAGAGGAAAGGTTGGAGCAGATATTTCCAATTATTTTGAAATAGAAAATGGTATTCCCCAAGGGAGTGCAATCAGTCCAAAATTATTTAACATCATGATTAATGACATGTTTACATGCTTAGACACATGCATCCAATCGGCTCTGTACGCAGATGATGGGGCTATATGGATGAGGGGAAGAAATGCCCCATGTAATGGAGAATATAGCTTGAGCGATTAGAAAAGTGGAGAGGTGGTCATATAACTGGGGATTCAAAATGTCAGAAAGCAAGTCATGCTACATGGTATTTACAAACAGCGAGAGCAAAAGTCTGATCATTGAGAAAGAAGCAAAGAGAACTGCAAACAACAACCTATGTTAAAACAAAGAAAAAATACTTATAGTTTATTACACAAACGATTTGTTTGCAACTTATGGTTTTATTTTTGAAATTAAATGCATTCTGCTTGACTCCGTTTTTTTTTTCTTAAACTCTTAATTTTGCTTGATTCTGAGAAAGTGTTGCTTTATCTTTATGAAACAAAACTAATCCCATCCATAAAGGCATAATATAACAATTCAAGGGACACGAGGAGGTAAGATAATAACAATAAATTAATAAAAATAAATGAAAACATTAGACAAATTAAATGAATACAATACAATAAAACCTATAAGACACCATCTGAGTATTTCTTCCACCTCTGCTGCTGAGGCACATCAAACATTAAAATACAAGTTCTCACCTTGTTGAACACATCCTCAAACTGTGCGTCCGTCACACAGCCAAGCCTCCTCAGCACCTGAGTGTCAATAATGAACATAATCAGAGGTGGGAAGCAACTAAGTAGATTTACTTAAGTACTGTACTAAAGTATCATTTATAAGTACTTGTACTTTACTTGAGTATTTCAATGTTATGCTATTTCATACTTCTACTCCTCTACAGTTCAGAGGTACATGGTGTACTTTTACTCCACTACTTGTATTTAATATCTTTAGTTACTTTACAGATGTGGATGAATGATGTGAAATATAATCAAGTCTTAAATCAGACTTTAGTTCCACCTGGAGTACACTGGGTCAGGCTACAAGGAAGTGGCGAGGAAAATATCACAAACATAATACTGCAGGATTGCTGGGAATATACAAAGTTCCAGGGGCGTGGGTTTGGCTGGACGAGTAAGGAGAGAACGAGGGCATATGGAGTGGAGACCATAAAGCTTGCCAAAGCAAGCCCATTTAGCAGTGTTCCCCCATGGCTTTCCCCAGAAGCTAATATAGATGTGAGCAGGGACGTGCACAGGTACGGGCTAATGTTGCCCGGGCAACGGCCCGTTTGGCCTTTTTGGCTGACCTGCCCCTCTGGAGAGAGCGAGAGTTTGTTTTTGTTTTTTCTGTTGTGGCCAAATCAACATGATAAACCCACAATTAGTATTGTAGCATCTCGCTGCGGGAAACACACTTTGTCAGCGCTGTCATCTGCCGGGGCGTTAAGACCACCTCAGTGTCAGATTATGGAAACTTGATTTTGAGTTGTCTCATGGCAGTTAGGGTATAAGAGACAAACCAGGGGGCTTTACTTCCTCTTGATACCGTCGGTTATTTACAAAAAAACACCTAAATATAGCCTACTTGTTGTTATTGTGCTTCTGTCTTTCTGTGTCTTCTCATCTGTAAACTCCCTCAACGGGGCCGCTCGCTCTCTTTTCTTGATCGCCCTCTCACGGGTGAACAGTTCAATGTCCCGCTTCATTGTAGGGCAAGGCAAGGCAAGGCAAGGCAAGGCAAGGCAAGGCAAGGCAAGGCAAGGCAAGGCAAGTTTATTTATATAGCACTTTCCAACACAAGGCAATTCAAAGTGCTTTACAAAAAATGAAAGAAATTAAGAAAATGGCATTTAAAATCAGTCATTAAAAAGAAAAGCTAATAAAATAAACATTAAAAGAAAAAGTACATGGATAAAAGTTACAGTGCAGTCTAAGATATGAATAGTTCAATTAAAAGCAGCGACAAAAAGAAAAGTCTTCAGCCTGGATTTAAAAGTAGTAAGAGTTGCAGCGGACCTGCAGGTTTCTGGGAGTTTGTTCCAGATATTTGGAGCATAATAACTGAACGCTGCTTCTCCATGTTTAGTTCTGACTCTGGGGACAGAAAGCTGACCAGTCCCTGAAGACCTGAGAGATCTGGATGGTTCATAATTTAGCAGGAGGTCAGAAATGTATTTTGGGCTTAAACCATTCAGTGCTTTATAAACCAGCAGCAGTATTTTGAAATCTATTATTTGACACACAGGAAGCCAGTGTAAAGACTTCAGAACTGGAGTGATGTGATCCACTTTCTTAGTGTTAGTGAGGACTCGAGCAGCAGCGTTCTGAATTAGCTGCAGCTTCCTAATAGATGTTTTAGTGAGACCTGTGAAGACACCATTGCAGTAGTCCAGTCTACTGAAGATAAAAGCATGGACAAGTTTTTCTTTTGTAGGATTTCTACCACGTCTCTACCACTTTAGTTTGACCATCTCTGTTACTAAGTTATGGAATACTAAATAAATAAGTAATTAGATACCTTACCGTTACTGCGCTCATGATAAGAATAAGAATAATGCGTAATGAACTGGTTTAATTAATTAGTGAGTTTATTTAAGGTAATTAGTTAGAGGCCCTATTTTATGTCTGGACTGCACAGCAGTTACAATGGTCTGGTCAAACTATATTAG